CCCCATGCCCCTTAATTAAGGAACATACCTTATAAATTGTAGGGGCCTTACTATTATGATTTAAGGTATATTCCGTAATTAAGGGCTTAATGCTCCTTAATTAAGGAACATGCCTTATAACTTATAGTTGCCTTACTATGATGGTTTAAGATATATTCCGTAATTAAGGAACATACCTTATAACTTACAGGGGCCTTACTAGTATGATTTCAGGTTACATTCCGTAATTAAGGGCCTGATGCCCCTTAATTAAGGAACATACCTTATAACTTACAGGGGCCTTACTAGTATGATTTCAGGTTACATTCCGTAATTAAGGGCCTAATGCCCCTTAATTAAAGAACATACCATATAACTTATAGGGGCCTTACTATTATGATTTAAGGTATATTCCGTACTTAAGGGGCATTGGGCGCATCCAAACGATGTGGTTATGCTGGAGAGAAAGACGTCGGAGGTAAAGCGCCTGCCGTATAACAGTGTGAGGATCCAGCCATGTCAGGACGAGGTGCTCTACTACATGTGCTGTCTTGATTGATCTGCTGTCAAAGTTTGTGCGTATTTTCACTGCCTACTAGTGACTGGTTGCGACTACTGTCGGATCCCAACTGTCAAAATGATCTCGGATTGTCTTTCCTCTTCCAAGTTGGTTTGTTACCCTGGCATTCACAGCCGACGAGCAGTTATTCATAGTCACTGATTAACATGTGTTTGTGCGCTGATATAAGTCAGACCTTTGGCCCTTTGTTTTGTGCGTCTGTAGACCGGAGTGAACCCGAAGGCGGAGACGGACCTCCGACCTTTCCAGCTTGAGGCGGTGGAAGCTGGAGCTGCAAGGTGGAGCCACGGCACCAAGTTTGCGCTGGCACGGGGACTGTCCACCCTGTGTTCGACTCGGAAGAAACTTCGGGAAGGAAAATTCAATCTCTTGCTGCCGGAAGCTTATTGTCGAATGGACAGTAGAATGATGCACGTTCACTCTCTTAAGGGTATCTGCAATCTCCGCAGCCGCGAGGCCAGGCAGATCTGCTACATTGGTTGCCGTATGCGAGACCTCCAGCCAACTTCCACCTGACAAAGTGTACATCATGCAGGGCGGCGTCGCTCTCGTGGGGTGGTGTGTCGCTACACGACAGAAAATTGCACGCACGGCTGTTTTGCCTGGGTACGTGTGTATAGATCTTCAATAGAATAGATGCATTACGGTGTTCTCTGCCGGGGCGCTGAAGGCTTGGCGTTACCCCTGCTACACCGCGACTGATGTGCAGCTTTTCGAAGCCATTGTTCCACCTCCTGGCGCGGCCGTTGGCATTAACACGATCACTTACAGTGATCAGGGTCATGGCAACACGCTGATGGCCGGCAACTTGGCAGTTGATAAAACCCAGATGAGGCACGGTGTATCCTAGCTTGTGCTCGAGGCCGTCGAAGTTGCCTCAGCAAGACTTCGGTGAACTTGTTTTCTGTCTCAGGAGGCGACCTTGACGGAGATCATGTCATGGTTTCTTTCACTGGCAAGCTCGTTGCTATCGTTCGAGGAAGCCAGGCGGGCGTCCGTCGACTGGCACCGGTGCTCAAATCATTCGAGGACGACATTCTGGAATCGGTGCATCAGTCTTGTTCGCCCTGGAGAAGCGACGCAGTGGCAGAGCGAGGCCGTGTGCAAAATACGACATTGCTTCGGTGATTTCCCAGAATGTCAAACCTAGTAGTACTTAGTAGTGACTGACTTTGGCACTATTTCAGACGTCCTCAACATGTGTCTGTAGGCCGCGAGTACATTGCCCACGCTGCGAATGTCAGTTCGTACAATGTGCGTGGAAAGATGTGCGGGCTGCTGGAGCGCGTCTTGCACGTTGCGCTCGAAGAAGGTGGCCGGGTTGTTGCGATTGTGTGATCTGGAATATGCAAGCAGTGTGCGGGAAGTGCATGTGCAAAGAATAGCTACCCATAGTGTTTAAAAAAAAAATGGAATCGGAAGTTGATAAAGTAGGAAGGGAGCAGGATACTGCGAGGTAGAGGAAAATAGAGCATTGTGGGGTGCAATAGATGTCCGATGCAGGGGTCTGCGGTTGTAAACCAGCTGAGTGAGGCGAGACGATGGACAGGGATGAGGTCGGAGAGCACGTGCTGGGGGCCCTGCATTTCGCCTTCGTGGGACACCATGCGCCGCTACTGCACTGAGCGTAGTGACTGCCGTGAACCGGGGTGAGCTGTGACGCCGAGTGTCTAAGAGACAGTCGTGAACGGATCGCTGACGGTTCAGGCGATGGACGTCCCCAGCAAGTGGACCATGGACGAATTCCTGGAGTTGGCTTCTACCGTCCTCGCTCAACACGGCTTCTCTAGGAGCTGCTGCTCTAGTGTAAAAGAAATAAACCGTTCGTATAGTTCGTATGTCCGCAATATGAACATGCAGGAAGAACCCACGGATCTCAGAGAGCCTGCGGCACTACTTCAAGATGGCCCTTGGGACTGCGCCGCGTGCCCGTGTGAGCCGGCTTTGGTCTTTGGGACACGCGGCCTTCTTGCATCTGCATTCAGGGGCTTAAAGAGCCAGTCCGCTGCATCGACTTCGGTGCCCTGGGCATCGTTCGTGTTAGGTGGTGTCAAAATGCTAACTGCGTGGCTGAATGCGCGTCAACCAGGGTTCCCAGGGTTCGTTGCTCTTTGTTTTGTCGTGCCGCAAACTGCTCGATGCTAGGTACCTCTCCGAGCAAGCCGTACAGAATTGCCAAGCTGCTCGATGACCCAGGCACTCTGGACCCTGTTGCCGCATTCTTGCTTGCCTCAGGGTATGAGGGTCTGTTAAGCTCGACTCCTGTTGTGTCCATCTTTGCCGAAGGTGCATCCTTGCCGGCACGGCTGCGAGCCTTTTGTGCTCGGGAATGCGGCAAGATCTATTACTCCGTCGAGGGCTTGCTCGCGTCCCCATCCTCCCGACTCATTCTGGAGTCGCTGAGCCGTGGGCTCGGATAGAGCTCTCGTCGCAGTTGTACTTGTATGGTGCTTACGGACCGCAGAACCCAGGGCACAAGACGGACGTCTACGCCCGTCTGCAGCTCCTGCTCACGCCCAGCTGGACTGGCCCGTGGGACGAGCGCATTACAGTTGAGCGCTGGGAGGAAGACGCTTCCACTAACGAGGACCGGTGCGGGGGGGGCTTGCACGCCTTTGATTTCTGGAACTCGATGCCAGCGTGTGCGAGAAAGGTGTGCAAGAGCGCAAAACCTATTTCGTCGTGCAGGCAGGAGCAGACTGGCTCGACGGCCAGGCCCTGTTGGGCATTGAGGCAGCTTCTCTACTGACTATGCGTCTGGACCGTCCCGCATAGCTTGAGGATGGAATGTTGTGCTGATCTTGTTAATTGCAAAGCCGCGGCCGCATACCTGAGGCTCGGGCCCTCGGCATCTGGGACGATGTGGACGTCCCTAACCAGCATCACGTCTTGTACGATGCCTACCAGTTCCGTGGAGCTGTGTCCGTGGGCGACGAGCTGCTGGAGGTCTGTGGCTAACCTGGATTCTTGCCGTAGCTACAAGCGCCACGGGGTCGCGCATGCGGGTCTCCGCTTACTATCGGGTGTGCTCGCCGTCTCTCTGGGTGAAGCAGCATCTAAGCCATAATATTAAGGTCCCTATATAGATTAAGGTATATTCCTTAATTAAGGGGTATTGGGCTCTCTGGGTATTCGGCGAACGACCTTCGAAATGGCCTTAAAAACACCTTAAAGGTCCTGTTACAAAAGCCCTTATATGCCCCGTGAAAGTATTTTTTTACAAAAAACCTTTTAACGCTTCTAAAAGCCTGTATAGAGCCCTAAATCCTAAACCCGAAACACTTCAAAAAAGCCTTTTAAAAGCCTTTATAGCGTCCTAAATCCTAGACCCTAAACCCCTCAAAAAAGCCCTCGCTGAGGCTTGGTCTCCTCCTTGCGAGCCTCTGGCTCTCCGCTTGACCTCACCACAGCCAGCTTCCACGGAGAGATTTTCGGAATTGAGGGAGTTGGTGGCTGAGGGCCTTTAGGGCTTCAGGGGTTTAGGGTTTAGGGTTTAGGGGGTTTTTGTTGAGGGCTTAGGGTTTACTCTTTAAGGATTCCTTGAAGGATAGTGCTACGTAAAGTGGCCCCTCCCCAAACCCAACGGTTACGGTAGGCCGGTAGGGTTTAGGTTAGAGTTTGGGGTTTAGGTTTTAGGGCTGGGGGGGTGGAGTTTAGGGTTGGGAGGGCGCTGGCAAGTGGTTTGAGGCACTTTACGTGGCACTCTCCCTTGAAGGGATCTATGGGGTTTAGGGTTTTGGGGTTTTGGGTTTTTTTTTTTTTTATGGGGTTTCGGGGGTTTAGAGTTTTGGCGTTTTAGGGCTTTAGGATTTTAGGGCTCAGGATTTTTTTGGGTTTAGAGTTTTGGGGTTTTAGGGCTTTAGGATTTTAGGGTTCAGGGTCTTTTAGGATTTTAGGGAGTTGGGATTGAATCTTTGGGGTGCAGCGTGTATAGGGTTTAGGGTTTAGGGAGTTTAGGGTTCAGGGTTTAGGGCTTAGGTTAGGGGTTGAGGGTTTTAACGTTTTAGGGTTTAGGAAGTTTAGTGCAAGGCTGTAGGGAGTTTCCAGGACTTGTATTGCGTTATAAGTTATAAGGGAGGCACGGTTCTGAGTCATGTGTTGTACTAGTTTCTTCACAGACTTCAATAGCCGTTAGATGAACGTTCATCGACAACCCTGTGAAAGATGTTTAGCATCCTTATTCAGATATCTGGATGCTTTTTTGATGTAGTTTACATTGCTTTTGTGGGCAAGGGTATCCTCGGCCCTGGCGCTGTTGCACACTTGCGTGTTGTTGTTAAGGTTTGTCAATATGCCAGTGAAAAGGAGGTTCGCAGCGCCGTCCAGCGTTTCCTGATGGTAGCTTGGCCCTGGCCGACGCGGACGACCTCCTACTATCGACTCGCGAGCCGGCAGACTTGGCAGCGGCTCTGTCGCTGCGGTTGCTGCTGGATGCCAGGGAGGAGGACGAGGAGGACGAGGCACACGTCGAGTTGACGAAATTCCGCGTGAAACAGGCGAAGAAACTCAGGCAATGGCTGCTTGGAGGCTGTTCTGCTGGCCGCGGTGGTGGAGCCTTCGTCGCCATTTGGCACAGGCCCGAGGCATCAGAATAAAAGATGTGACCAAAGAATGGTTCAATCTACCGAAGTCGACGGTCTGCTCCTGGCAGCTCGCCAACCGGCGGACTTGTTTGCGGTACCACATGCACTAGAACCCGAAACCCTACACCCTGAACCCTAAACGCCCTAAGCCCTGAACACTGAAACTACCAAGCTCAACCCTGAACCCTGGAACACTGAACGCTTAGAGGCCATAACGCTGAAGTGTTTAGGGTCAGGGTTTAGGGTTCAGGGTTTAGGAGTCTGGACCATGCCTCATCACCAACCCCGAAGGCTTGAGGGTTATTCAAGATCCATCCGTGGAGTTTGCGCCAGATAAGGTTTCATAACAGGCGGACGAAGAAAATCCTGCTAAAGTCCGGGTACCGGGTATTTATATTCCAGGAGGTCCCTGCAAGCCTTACTCTAATTGCTTCCTTACCATAGGAACTCAAGGGTAGGTTACCATAGGGATCTATAGCAACTAGTATAATTTCCTTATACTACAACAACTTAGTAAACCCTAAACCCTGAACCCTAAATATTATGGTTTCCTTATACTACAGGAACTTAAGTTTCATCCCGTAACAAGAACCCAGGAGTCGGTAGCCGAGGGTTTTTAGGGGTTTAAGGGGTTTTAGGGTTTTTAGGGCTTTAGGGTTTAGGGTTTTAGGGCTTAGGGTGTAGGGCTTTTAGGGTTTTAGGGCTTAGGGTGTAGGGCTTTTAGGGTTTTAGGGGTTTAAGAGTTTAGGGTTTTAGGGTTTAGGATCCCGGGCTTAGGGTGTAGGGCTTTTAGGGTTTCAGGGGTTTAAGGGTTTAGGGTTTTAGGATTCAGTTTTAGGGTTTAGGGTTTAGGGCTTTTAGGGTCTAGGGCTTGGGGCTTCTAGAATCCATCAGGCTCCAAGTACCTACTTTGGTGTCCACAGTCTATAAAGAGTCCCTGATTCGGGCTATTCGCAGGGCTTTTGGAATAGGTTTAGGGTTTACGGGGTAGGTGTTTAAGAATGCCTTCGATGCGTTTTGTAGGTGTCATATAGAGATTCTACTAGCGTGTTTCGGGGTCTGGGGCATTTAAGATGAGATCCAATGGGCATAGTTACAAGGGTTCTGCAGGCATAGAACGGGGCCTTTAAACGGGGTCCCACCGAAGGATGCAACCCTAAACCTTTATAGATCCCTCAAAAAGCACAAAGATCCGTTGACCCAGAGAGCCCACTGACCCCTTAGTTAAGAGATATACCTTACATTATAGGGTTTACGGTGGGCTCTCTGGCAAAGAAACCCTACTTAGAGGATCATGGAACTTAGCAATTAGGGTTATAATTAAGGTAACCATACTTATAGTTATTTATAACCCCACTTAAGGTACTTATAACCCTACTTGTTAAGTCCCATGATCCTCCACATAGCCCTTTTTGGCCCCGGGCCGAAGCACGTCCAGGGCTTCAGGGCCTTTTGCAAGTGTGCCCTCAAGAGGCCAGGCCCTATACTCCAAGGGTTGAGGGTTTAGGGTTTAAACCCTAAACTCTAAACCGTGTTTAGGGTTTAGGGTTTAGGGTTTAAAGTTTAGGGTTTAGAGTTCAGGGTTTAGGGTTCAGGGTTTCGAGTTTTTGAGGTTTCAGTCTGTCCCAACTTACAGCCACTAAAGCCTCAACTCCCGAAGAAGCCATGCAGAAGCCGTAGACCCCTGAAGCCCAGCCCAGGAGGCACCAGAACCGGGATTAAAACGTTTGGTGTGTGTGTGTGGGGGTTTTGGAT